GGAGGGCGGCTGGGAGCCTCCCCCCTGCCCCGCTGCTGGCCGTGGTTCCAGATGGCCCTCCTGGCTGTGGGCCTGGGTAGTCCTGGATGGCCCTAGGTGGTCTTGAGTAGTCCTGGATGGCCCTAGATGGTGCTGAACGGTCCTAGGTGGTCCTGGATGGCCCTAGATGATGCTGGATGGTCCTAGGAGGTCCTGGGTGTCCCTAGATGTCCCTAGATGATCCTGGATGGTCCTAGGTGGTCCTGGGTGGCCCTGCATAGTCCTGGATGGTCCTAGGTGGTCCTGGACGGTCCTAGGTGTCCCTAGACAGTCCTGGATGGTCCTAGGTAGTCCTGGACAGCCCTAGGTGTCCCTGGGTAGTCCTGGATGGCCCTAGATGGTGCTGGATGGTCCTAGGTGGTCCTGGATGGCCCTAGATGATGCTGGATGGTCCTATGAGGTCCTGGGTGGCCCTAGATGTTCCTGGGTAGTCCTGGATGGTCCTAGGTGGTCCTAAATGGCCCTAGAACACATCACATGCAGTGAGCACGGTGTGGACCTCCACCCTTGGAGTAAAGGGCCTTTGCACCTGGAAGATGCCGAGGACTGAGGCCACCCTGCCTGTGAGCCGGCAGGAGGGAGCAAGTGGAGCTGGGCAACAGACCTTGCCCACCAGATTGTCCTCCAGACTCAACACAGAGGTTCATTTTAGTTGCAACTCTCTTTCTCTCCAGGTGGTAGAGGCTTATAAGCAAGGTCTCAGACCAGCCGTTGGTTTTGAGCTCAACCCCTGGCTGCTGTGTCTCTCCAGCTACCGGACCTGGAAGGCTGGGTACCACGGGAAGGTTTGCTTCCTGAAGAAAGACTTCTGGAAGGTAACAGTGTCCCCAGGGTCTGGCTGTGCTCAGCGCTGGCCCTAACTAGGGCTGGTCTGCATCTCCAGACAGGTTTTCCTGATGGTTCCATCCCAGGAGGTGGGAGAACCATCCTCCTTCCCCGGGGAAATGCCCGCCTGGGCTGCTGGTTTTGCAGGCAGCAGCGCTCCTGCTCAGGGCAGCTTTGAGGGGAGGTCTTGGGTGCTGCTGACATGCTGTGGCCTTCAGAGATGCTCTGCTAAAGCTGGCAGCAGGTACCTGCACCCTGACCAGAGAAAACCCAGTGGGGAAGGTGGTTCTGGAACAGTGCCCGAGGCAGGTGTTTTGCGAGAGGCACTGCTTCTACGCCCAGCTCCCATCCCGCACGCTGCAGGGCATCTGTGCTTCCTCCGAGGCTCAGAAGATCACCCGCAAAGCGTTTGGCCACTCAAACGGTTCCCGCCGCTGCCCCCCCTCGGCCTGTTGCTTCTTTCATTCCCCTTTTCCTTCCTTTTTAAGGTGAATCTTTCCGATTGCTACAATGTGATTGTGTTCCTGGCCCCCAGCGTGGTAAGTCCCTCCCTTGCACCCGGGCTTGTTCTGACCGAGCTCAAGGGTGGGCTTTCTTAGAAAAGAGATAATCTGTGACAGTGGCAAAGATAACAACAGACCAGAGGTAAAGAAAATTCCAGAGTTGCTTGTGCTGGAATAAAAAGCCAAACGGGAGCATGTTTTCCAGCTGTGGAGCCTGCGCCCGTTGCAGCTGTTGGATGTGACCCTGTCTGGGACCCCCTTCCACACGTCTTCCCGAGGGAGTGCTGCTCTGGGAGCACTGTCAACAAGTCCCCCACGGAGCTCGTTACCCGGCCACCACGAGTGCCCGTTACAGCCCACACTCCACCGTCGGTCTCAGTGAGGCAGAGCAGAGCCGTGTGGAGTGCTGAGACCTGCAGCAGCAGTGGGCATGGCTGCGAGCGAGCGGCTTGGTGCTCAGCACCACTCAAATTTGGCCCCAGTCCCAACCATACAGAGGGCCAGAGCTGGCCCTGCATTGTGGAAGGGTCTTTGGTTGGTGCTGCTTGCTTGGGACCCACCGGCCAGGCCGAGAAGCTGCGCTGTGGTCCCTGGGGGCACTGCCCCCC